TGAGTGCCCCACCCAGATGATCTTAGCATCTCCTCCACCAGCTGAAACCACCTGCTTGGAGGATAGGGTTTCAGAGTGTGAATTTTAGAGGGAGACCCAACATTTCACACTTCAAGCAGGAAATTGGCATGAATTAACATCTGGGTGTTTGCTTCTCGGTATTTACCCTATTGGAGATTTGGTAGTAGCTGTGTTTTAGGACGGAACTAGAGAGTTCCGTGTCCAAGTAAGTGCTCCTCATTAAGTTCAGCAAATTGTTGATTTATCATTCAGATATCCAAAACATATAGATCACAGAGATCAAAGGAAAGGAATCTAGGTGCTGATTACAACAGTGAATGTGTAATTTACAGTTGTGAAATTAGACGTATTGTAACATAGTGAGTTTTCTTTTACTTTCTGTCTTAAGTCACAGATGTATTTTCCTGTCTTTAGCAGGTCAGAAGTACAGTCTTATATGTTCTTGGTGTTTTGTTTGAACAATTAAAAAAATCATTTAGAATGTTAAAGATACTGGCATGTTTGACTTTGTGTCCAGTCTGCATGACCAGATCTGAACAGTTTTGTCGACTTGGTTAAGAGTACGCAAAATCAAGAAGCCCACGCCGACTTCAGTTCTGAAAGTTTCATGGAGATACCTTCAAAATCCTGCTTATTGGTGATAAGCCAACTAAATTAAGCAAGTTCTGGACTGGGAAGCTGTTTGAATATTCAGCTTAGGGAAGGAAGAAAGAATAAACTGCCCACAGGGCCAAACCCCATTCTCCAGGCGAGAGTACCCGGAAAGTCAACAGAGTGGGTGCTGTGGTTCTCGTGTGAAAAGAAAATGATGGGGAAAAAGGGGGGGGGGGGGATAAAAAGAGAGCGGAACAGTTTGTTTCTCTGACTTTGGATGGGAAGCTCCGATCCTTGTGTCCCAGGAACTAGCATGTTGGCTTTCCTTTTCCATACCTGACAACAAGGGACACACATAGGGACACGGAGTGAACTTGACCCTTCTTTGGGTTCCCCTAGCAAAAGCTTGCAAGCTTCGGAAGGCACGTGATGTTTAAAAACTGCACGGTTAGTTTTTTTTTTTAAGATTTATTTACTTATTACGAATACAACATCCTACCTCCACGTCCGTCTGCAGGCCAGAAGAGGACACCAGATTTCCTTATAGGTGGTTGTGAGCCACCATGTGGTTGCCGGGAATTGAACTCAGGACCTCTGGAAGAACACACAGTGCTCTTAACCTCTGAGCCATCTCTCCAGCCCCCATAGTTAGTTTTTATAATTATAAAAATATATAGACAAAAAAAGAGCCTTGGACCTTCTAGCCATTTTGGCTTACGCTTACTGACAAGATCGCTGTTTCTGACCTTGAGTGTCTGTTTTTAAAAGGGTTTCTCAAAGCTTGTTTACATTCTTTCTCCTTTTTTTCTCTTCCTTTACACTACGCCTCCCTCCCTCTCCCTGTCCCCCTTGTGTGCCCGAGTTCTCCTCTGCTCCCGTTCTCTCTCTGATGTCTGCATTCCGAGTGGCTCTGGGCATCACTCCCCCTTGGCCCTCCCTCCACACTCTCCGGTCTCCTCAGCTCAGCCGATCTGCTCACGACCTTGTGCTGCCGGACAGACCTTGTGCTGCCGGACGGCTGCCAGACACCTCGGCTGCTGCTTAGTTTAAGAGTTGAACGTGGAAGGGCCCTCAGGTGGACAACAACGATTCCTCTGGCATCCTGTCCATGGTGTTAGCGGCTTGACACGGGAGGATAGACGGGGGAGGACAGTCCCTGTGACCCTGGCGGCCAGCCACAGGGGCGACTAATCTGTCATAATTCACCAGAAGAAACCTTCAGCCTCCCTGAACGTACGCCAGCCCAGCTTCCTTAATCATAATTCAAGAGCACTTCCTGGAGTCTTTGTTTGGCACCCCGTTTGTCTGGCGGGAGCCACTGGTTTGTTTATGCATGACTTGGTAAGAGGGATATTTTGTCTTTACTGCATTAGTATTACAGAGAAGCGACAGTTGTTTGTGTTGACCGTTCAACCCGTTTGAAATACTTGTCTCCCCCTCAACAGGACGACCGTTAGCTGTTCATTCCTTCCCTTGGTAGTATGGAGTACTCCTCATCTCAGAAACACCAGCTGTCATCCCTGTGCGTCTCTGAGCAGGTGTTTCGTTTTTCCTCCCCAGCAGAATTTGAGATCTGAGCTCCACTTGGATAGATAAGCCAGCAGCGGGTTAAGGCTTGCTGGTGACCTCACCTGCAGGGATTGCGGGACCCTGCACCTTCCTGCACATCCATGCACCAGGACTTTGTCAGGCAGGAAATCCTGTGAGGTTCCTGCCCAGGCTCACCAAATGGAGCTCTGAAGGGTTTCATTTTTTCTTCTTTTTCTGGCCGGTCTCCTGCCTTATTAGAACACCATGTACGGAAGCCCTTTTTAACCCATGCGCTCTTGCTGACGGATTGGCCTGGGGTCACCATGGTGGGTAAAGATAAGAGCATTCTACGGAGGGCACGGTCCAAAAAAACCACATGGGAACCGTGTTGCAGGAGCTGGCATGAGCCGGAGCCTTAGCGATGGTAGCCCAGCCCTGAGAAACGGGGCGCCTGTTGTAGAGAGCAGAGGGTCGCTGTGAATCATCGAACGTGAAGCCTTGCCGTTGGACAGGCATAGCCCCAATTCTGGCCTTGCTCCCAGCAGCTGTGTTCTTTTGGATCTTGAACCTCAGCTGTCACCGTCTGTGGACACTATTAACCTTCCAGAGTTGTTTTTTTATGAGAACCCAATGGGAAGATACGTAAAACGCTCAACACAGTTCATAGCATGTCCTAAGTGATGAATGCTTATCGATTTTCCCATTGATTTGGGATTACTTTCTGTTCTACCACCCTCTCAACTGTTATCCAGAGCAAACTAAAGATGACAGCAGTGTGTCTGCAGTTTCCACGGCAGTGCTGTGCAGAGAGAATTATGCACCACTGGCCTTCATGGAAGGGAAGGTGTCACTCCTTTGAGACCTCATGAGAGACCTTGTGATGATGGCTAGGGATATACTTTTAAGGTCTCATCTTCTAGACCTCAGTTCCTGAGTGCTTTTCTAAACCTACATTTGTAGGCACTGTTACGACCGAGTCTCCTTCCCATTCCCTTTTACTGTTGCTATTTTACCCTTTTGGTACACAAAGATGCTCTGACCCATCTCAAATCTTTCCAGGGCCTTTTGTCCTAAGGTATAAATCTAGGATCCTGATGACGACAGAGTAAAGTTTGAAGTACCGGTTTTAATGCAATCTTCTTGGATAAAGGCGTCATGAATCTCCCTCTTAATAAGAGATGTGTTCACACACACAAAAAAAATGACTTTTTTTTTTCTTTTTGGGTTTTTCGAAACAGGTTTTCTCTGTATTGTTTTGGAGCCTCCTGTCCTGGAATTCGCTCTGTAGACCAGGCTGGCCTCGAACTCACAGAGATCCACCTGTCTCTGCCTCCCGAGTGCTGGGATTAAAGGCATACACAACCAACGCCCAGTTAAAAAAATTCACTTTTTATACTTAATGTATTAAAGTTATTAGTAGTTGTAGGACATGGTGGCACATACACCTTTAATCTCAGCACTCGGAAGACACAGATGAGTAGGTTTTTGTGAGTTTGAGGCCAGCCTGGTCTCCATAGTAAATTCTAGGACAGCTATAGCTACATGGTGAGATCCTGTCTTAAAAAACAAAGAAACGAAACAAACAACCCCCTCAAGTTAGCAGTTGTGCTGCCTTGGCCATCAGTTGTTGATGACATCTGTGGGTTATTCTCTTTTCAGGAGAATTTCTTTATACATGGGGCTCACTATAGGTATTATAGGGAATTTTACAGAATCAAACTTGAAAATACATCCTGTTTCAAAGTACTCCAGTGGTGGCTAGTAGGAGACCAAACACACAGATTTTTGTATTACACTATGAAATTTTACGGGGAAGTTGACGTGAGACTATGCTTTTTAGGAAAAGAAGAGAACAATGTGACCTGTCTAACTGCTAAGGAAATTTGTTCTCACGGACAGTCGTGGACATCAAAGGATACTAATTTTCATGTTACTTTGGATGCATTTTAAAATTTGAGGATGCAGCAACTATTGGACATGCTCTTTTAGGTTTTTAAGCATATGACGAGAAATGTTATCAGTACTTAGTGATGAGCCTAGGGAAACAGTTGTTGACATTTTAAGGAAGTAAGGCGGTGAGAGGTTTGAAGATGGTCCTGTTTCACCGCTATGCGTGCCTCTCCTTGAAGAAGCTCTGGTCTCCTCTCTTGGCGTCTCTCCCTCTCACTCTCAGGGGTGACCGTTACTCTTTCATGATAGACAGCCTTCGGCTAAGTGAATCTTTGACTGAAAATGAGGAATATTCTTCCCTTGTTGACAGAAGTGTCAGGTATGCCGGAAGAAAACCAGACCCCTGCTTCTTGGAGTTTGTGGGAGGAGTTTGTGGGCCTCCTGTGTTCTTCTTGGGTTTAGAAATTGGAGTTTTGGTGGGAGTAGTTGGCTGAAATTCATACCTCAGCAGCTCACGTGATGATACCAAAGTGTATATCAAGGGTGCTGCTGCTTCCCCCACAACAGTCAGACAGATGTCTTTGCTCGTCCTGTGCTTGGCGAGGCTGTGGGCGGAGCTTTTTCTGAATTGTGGCTCTCTGTAGAGCCCTGAGGGTCCAGTGGTTAAGTGATAGAATGACTCCTGTGTGGAAACCTGGACAGTTAACACTCAGAGCCGGCAATCATTTCCTTTGATTTCTGATTTCTTCTTTTATGGTCTGGGAGTGGCCAGAACCAAAGACTAAAACAAAAACTTGAACTGATGGCATTATTGTGTTGTGGTTTTTTTTTTCCATTGACCGATTGCTACTCTAAATCCTACATTTGGTTTAATTTCTTTTTAATTCACTTTTAAAGAATGTGCCTATATAGAAAGCAAGCCGTTAAAGTCAGTGAGATAAATTCTGCTTTGCCTTTTCTTCCAGGTGAGAAGAAACGGGCTGTCTCAAGCGGTGAGCCAGGAGGAAAGAAAGAGGCAAGAGGTATGTTCCATGAGTTTCCATGAGTGAAGGTCTTAGGGCGGCAGGCACACCTTCCCTTCTGTCTTCCCCTACTGTGTGTGCTTAGGTCAGTGCTTGGAAACACATTTGTTTTCTTCCTATGAACACAGTGAGCTTCGTCCTTGAATAAAGCAACGTCCATGTCAGCCCCAGGAACAGAAAAAAAAAATTAGTAAAGTGCCACAGCGTCATTTGCATTTAAATGGCAAAGCACCTGGAAGGAATGCATTCAGCTACAGACTGTAGATCCCCAGAGCTGGAAAAACCCAAAATCAGAGCCCAGTGCTTATGTGTTAGTCTCCACACAACAGACGCTGAGGGTGAGGTGTGCATGGCCACAGCATTGGGGAAACTGGGGAAAGAACACACGGACTTATGAACTGCCTTTGCAAATTTCCTGTCAATTAAGACGCACAACCAGAGATCAAGCTTACATAAGCAAAGGGGCTGATCATAGGACTTTATGCCTTGCAATTTAAGTCGATACAGTTTAAAAAATTTTTTTGGCTTTTCTTTTTTCTCTTTTCTATCGCTTCGTCTTGTTTTGAGGAGTAGGATTTTTCTGTGTAGCCCTAGCTGTCCTGGAACTTCCTACGTAGACCAGGCTGGCCTAGAACTTGCAGAGATCCGCCTGCCTCTGTTTCCAGCGTGCTGGGATCAAAGGTGTGCGCCACCACACATGCCTGGCCTTGCTCGTTCTTATAATGTTGTCACTTTCCTCTCATCTTACCCATCTTGATGTGCGTCCATGCAGGCGCTTTTTAAAATGCAGGTGAATCAATTCTGCATAGATGCAAAGCTGCCCTTGTCTTACTCAGATAGCACGGGATAAAGGAAAAAAAAATGTGCGTACATAATACCGACTTTTTTTTAAGTTTAAAAGGGTTAGAGAATATAGCATAGCGTTTGAGGGTGCCCACAGGTGTACCGCATTTTAAAAAGACAATAAAACTTAATAAAAATCTCGAGTTCTCCTTGATTCAACTGAGAGAGGTTTAATTACACGTTGCCGTGTATTCTTCAGTCTGTATTTTTTAAGTCATGTACTCCATATACATACATCAAATGTTACAGTGGTCACTTTTTACAGTCAGCATATTGAGGGCCTTGTCTGTGATCATGTATATTCCCTCTGGTCGCTGTTTAAGCCTCTGTGTGATGCTCCATTCTCTGAACACCTGTGTCAGTTTTACTAAGGGTTAGCAGAGGTTAGGGCTCTTTTTTTTTTTTTGCTGTTTATTATGGAATAAATGATTATCTCTTTGTTGACAAATTCGAGAATTTCTCCAAAGTCTTAAGTCTATTAAAACAATCCGTCTTTGACATCTTATGTATTTGGATTTTGTCTGTTTCTGTTGGATTCTGAAATTCTTTGTTGAGATTTCGCATACAAGTGTCATGGCCCTTCTCTGCTCTCTGGTAGTCCGTGCCTGCTTGGTGATATACAGTCAGCCACTACTGCCTTAGACTTCTCTGCACCCACCTTTGCGTGCGATCTGTTCTGCATAGTTCAACGCGTCCCTTATCTGTCTTTGCATTTTGGGTGTGATTGCAGAAGCCTTTGGTTGTTGGAGATATTTGAAGTCACTCCAAGGCACAAAAATCCTCCAGCCCACCTATTTATTTATTACCTGTTACTTTTATCCAGGAATGGAGAATATCCTTGAGTCCGTTCTATTTTTCTTAGGGACAGTTGTGTTTATTGCACAGACGAGGGACAGGCTGACTTCTAACGCTCTTCCTCCTTTTTTTTTTTCTAAACAGTTATGTCAGTTAACTCCTTGGAGCCTAGCTGAGGCTAGACCAGAGAATCTTTAAGGTTAAGGCCTCCAGAAGCTTACAGATGTTTAAAAAGGGGCGGCGGGAGAGGGGGAGTAGAGACTAGCTCTGAACAAGTGAAGCTCTGCTAACTTGATATGCAAGATGTAGCCCAGCCGTGGGCAGCTGGGAATCCACCTGCCCGGGCAGGGGCTTGAAGGAAATAAAGGTCAAGGTACCAGGCCTGTAAGAATGTTTACACACCACCCCTGTCCCCCCCCCCCCCAGAAATTCTCTAAGCATTCCTGTTAGTGTTAGTATTGAAGAGGTAGATGGAATTCTTTACACAGGGCGTTGGTGTCTCTGTCTATGTGACCTGGCATTTCGTCATTCATGGTCATCAGAAAACCTCTCTGTTTGTCACCAGGGGTCTCCAAGCCCAGTGTGCATTGATGAGAGTAGAGTAGGTGGCTTGTTGAGCAGATGGAATTACTTTCAGTTGTCTGGGTTACATAAAGGAATTCCTGCGGCTTGCTAAGGACCTTCTGAGGGTAGGTGCGGTCATGCCACGCAGTATCTGCCGCTGACTTGCAAATTAGCCGTTATTAAAACGGAGAGAAGGAGCACAGATTTCAGAAGGGGGCAGGGGACCGTTTGTGAGGCCAGATGATCATAAATTCTTAATTGTCCCTGAAGCAGTGCGCTTTGGAAGCAGGGCTAGGGAAGGTGACCCCAGAGGTTAATTAGTGTCACAGTGAGATTTTTATGACATGCCCTACTTCCTTCCATAGATTGTGCCCTGTGGCAAAGGCATGACCTCAGGATGCCATGGAAAGTCATCCTGGCTCTTTTAACTTTTTTCCTTACGTACAGGCTGTGACAGTCCTCCGTTTGGCTACACAGGCCTTCTGTAAAGACAATGGTTTGGCGACACCTCTTCCGTGCCACTCCCATAGAGAGCAGTGAGAGCTGTATTTAATTCTTCAGCTAAAGTCACGAACCACGTATTTCTATTCTTCCCTTTGCCAGGCCATCTTTGAAGTCATATCCTCAGAGCATTCCTACTTACTCAGCTTGGAGATCTTGAAACGGATGTTTAAAGACTCGAAGGAACTGAGCGACACCATGACGAAAACGGAGCGGCACCACCTCTTCTCCAATATCACGGACGTCTACGAGGCCAGCAAAAAGTAAGTGCTCTGCGGTTTGCCCGTGGCCCGGCTGGGATGGTACTTACCAGGGTCCCTGTGTCCTCTGACTAAGGGGCTGCCCTCCACCCACGTGGCCGGTGTCTTCGCCCGGTGACGTCTGTCCGTTTTAGGCTGTGCTTTGGGCTCGTAATGATTTAGATGGTGAGCATGCTACTCCTCTCAGCAGGGAGCTAGCTCAGGCCTCTCCAGCCCCTCTCTTTCCCTACATCTGCTTCCTTATTTCTTCATTTGGACTAGGCTGTGACACTTGCCTATTTAAGTGAAAAAAAAGAGAGGCTTCAGGCTTTCATCTTCTGTATGAAATAATTGGGTAGACTTTAACAGTGCTTTTATTGATTTTTTTTTTTTAGTATATAACTTTGTCATGAGAAGTTGATACATCTGTGTAATACATTTTCATACGCTCAACACTTATATTTAATATTTTCCCCAGGTTTGCTTTTTTCCACTTAAATATTTCTAGGTGTATACGTACAATAGCTGACAGATAAATGCCTCGGTGTTTAGTAAGGAAAACTATTTCCTTATGTACCTACACTTTGGTTTATGATTTTATCCTATTGGGTTTTATGTATGTATAGGCGTGTGCGTGTAATAGGGTCATTTATTTTAAAATGCTGATGTCACAAGGGGTACATGGTAATCATAGGGTCATTTATTTTAAAATGCTGATGTCACAAGGGGTACATGGTAATCACTCCCTCTGTGTACTGCTTGCTGATCACCTGAAAAGCAGCTAGAGCAAACCTTTCTTCCTTCTATTTCTCTGGTTTTTTATTTAAATGGTAACACTCTGCGAGAAACTTCCCCTTAACTATCTCACCTAAATTTTACAAGCCACTGCGTGTCTGTAATTACAAGTTTCTCCTTTTTTTTAAAGAATATTTTTTTATGGCAAATCGTTTATTGAAGGCACCAGGTTATTGATTGGGCGGCAGTTTTCAGGGAGCAGGGCATGGGGGTGGTGATCCATCTTAGGTCTGTCAGCTCAGTGAGGGACCGCAGATGCTTTTGCTCTAATCCACCGTGCTTTGTTTAGCCAGTAACGTGTGTTTCTCTAAGGGAAATGCACGTCTGTCTGTCCACGTACCCAGTGGCGCACTGATGCACACACTCTCTCTGTTGATGCTCAGGCTTTTCTGGTTTTAGCCTTAATAATCTCTGGCCATCTTCTTGCTATCTTCAAGATCCTGATTACAGTTCTTGCTCTAGATCTGGAGTCAACTGCTGGCCTCAAGAGTCTTAGTGTCTTTTGATGTTTATGAAGAATTCAGGGGGTGCTCATTGCTGGATGACTCTTTTGGCTTTGAGTAGCTAACCAAAAAAAAAAAAAAAAAGTCCAAATTCAAGTCTACAGAACAAGGTATACTCAAAACAGCCTCTAGGTACTCCAGGCTCATCAAAAATACATGCATTAAATGTGCAACTTTTATAAGTCTGTTTAGAGCTTCATGGAGCCTACACAGGAATCCCAGCTTCTGCCATTGTCCCAACCATCCCGATTTCCCCTTGCATGGCTGAATTTTTTTTTTACTTTTTTAAAAAATATTTATTTGGGGCAAGGGTGGAGTGTGCCATAACGGTGTGTCAAAGGGCCGCCTGCAGGAGTTAGTTTGTTCCTCCCACCATTCAAGTCCAGGGAATCGAACCCGGGTCGTCAAGGTTGGTGGCAAGCTCCCTTAACTGCTGAGTGGTCTCACTACCCTCCTCTGGAAAGTTACTCTTTATCTTTGTTTTTAATGTATGTGTGTACACACCCACACACCCCACATATTGTATCACTTCCCTTAGGTACTACAAGCCGCCTATTCCTTACACTTCTTTCAACCTTCCTTTCTTTTTTTTTTTTTCTTCACATAATGAGAGGGTCTAGAGATTGCTCCCTAGTCATTTTATAAAGACAGGCACTCTCATTTCTGGCTGCCTGGGTCTCCACTAAGAGGCCGTGTCATGGCTTACTGGTGCAGACCTCTGTTCATGGACGTAGGCTTGGTTCTTTTGTTTTTGGTTTTTTTTTTTCTGGTCTCACTATTGCGCTTAGCGCACATGCTTTGTTGTGTTTTAGTTATTTTATCTTTGGGAAAATATTTGGGGAGGAGCTGCAGCATCAAAGGGTAAGTATGCGTGCATTACCAAACCCCCCTCAAAGCGTCTGAAGCAGCTTGCATTGCCACTGAGAACAGACAGGTCCCCGCACCTCCGCCGCCTTTCCGGCAGCCTGTCGACAAATCTTCAGATTTTTGTCAATCTGTTAGGCAAGGAGAATTATCTCAATGAAGTTTTAGCATTTCTCTTAAGGCCTTTTATTTTTAATTAAAGCATTCTGGAACATACTACAGTCCAACTGAAACTAAGTCAATGGTATTTTTTTTTCAGCACAGTAAGTAGACTGTTCTAAGTAATGAACATAGGATGTTGAAGCCTTAAGGTAATAGCAGGGGCATTAGTGCGTACGCATGTATTGCTCAACAGCCAGGATAAAATGTGAGAAATCACTGGGAGTGGGGGGGTGGTCACTGGGGATACAGGGGTCGTCATTGTGAAAATACCTTCAATTGAGTGTACTTGTATGAACCGAGATGACATATAGCCTACTGCATACTTAAGTGATACCATAATGTAGATGATACTGGCTAGTTCTCCTATAGCCGCGAACAAAGCAGAGTTAAGTAAGCGTAAAGAAGAAGAAAAAACGTAAGACACAGAAAATGATACATGATACAAGACGCTGTTCTGTGGCTTATAACTTTGTAAGCTTTTGTTCTTCAAGGGAAGGGAGATTGATTTAGTGACGAAAGTGTAGCTGGGATTACCTGTGAACCACTGATGTAGTTTCATCACTGTCAGGTGTTTGTCCTACTCTGCTTTTGTGTGGGTGGCAGCACCTGAGGATTGTTTATACCGGTGCCACCCAAACAAGAGTAAACCATTGTTCTGTGGCCACATGGCTACTGTAAAGCGATTAGACATTGGACATTGCTCAGCTTCATTATATTATTTTTTTATGAGACTACCAGCTTGTGTGTGTGGTCTGTCGTTGACCAGAAAGTTCTGTGTTGCACCACGGTGCAGTTTCATGGGCGGCGTGTTGACACACAAGCAATGAAGAAAGAGGAACCTTGGACGTCAAAACTTCTTGAAAGATCGCTCAGCAATGTGAGTTCAACCGCGCTGTAGGCCTAGAGCAGGAATAATTGGGCAGTCAGTTAAAAGATTTTAGGAGAGTGCTTTAAGACACTGCTTTTGTCACAATATATTCAGAACCACCTACAATAGACAAGTGCTTACGAAGCCTAGCACCGTTGGATGCCGCAAAGCCAGCTTGTTGGCCGGTATGATTGTTCTTTTATGTCATGAAAGAAGTAGCTGTAGGTGATAGCGTCTGTTAGTGTGGATTGAGTGAGAGCCCTGTTGGCGCCCAGGTTTGCCGTGGCGTGACACCCGGTATCCTTTGGGGTAAGGTAACTCAGGCTCCTCTGTTTGCTGATTAAACACCGGGTGGCCCTTCCCTGTGAGTCAGCGTTATTTGCACACAGGCAGCAAAGGACAAAGACCGTTCTGACTTTGAGCGTATGCGTGGGCACCCGCCAGTGGTCATGTCCCTTTTAGGTGCTCCTCTGTGTGACCGGATCAGCCATTCCGGTGACCGGGCCTCCTGTTCTGCTAGGCGGCTAAGGGCTACGCCACATTTCAGCCAGTGTCGTCTGCCTCGTAGATGCTGGTATTGTGGGGGCCGGTGGCGGCTGGCAGAACAACCCTAGCAAGCATGCTGAGGTACCCCAAAGCCCGGCACATCTCCGGAAAGAGGAATGTTTGGGTCGCACTAGAGGTCACGGACTAGAGGTCACGGTGAGGCCAAAGGAGAGGAAGAGAGTAGATGAATAGCAAAGCCGGAACGTGGGGCTGGGTTCCCACCGCTTGCTGAGGAATTTCACACTTAGCATTTGTGTGGTGTCGTGGGTGGGCGTGCCGGAAAGAACGTGGTAGAATCTGCTGCTGCTGTGGAGAGAAGCAGTGTGTATGAGTGTTGAGAGATTCGAGGTAGCCTTTGTAACCGTCATTGACCACGATGGGACAAAGAGGAAGGACTCCAAAGATGTTTAGAGTGTGGGTTCTTGAAAGACTTGCCAGAAAGTGCAAAGGTTTCATTTGCTTCCCCGGTTTTCCGGCCTGGCTGGCTCTGGATGGAGGTTTCTAGAAGGTTGGAATTTAGTGAGGGAGACAAAGGCTTAAGCATGAGAGAGTGTGGCTCGGGAAGAGAAGGTGTCTGGTTGAAAGGAGGAATCAGGCTGGCCTGGTGGCCCGAGCCTTAATGCCAGACTCAGGATGCAGAGGCAGGAAGCTCTCTGTGAGTTTAGTTCCAGGCCAGCGTGGTCTACATAGTGGGTGAGTTCTGAGATAGCCAGAGCTACTTAGTGAGACCCTGTCCCAAAGAAACAAAACAAAACAAAAACAAGAAAGAAATGAAACAACTAAAGGAGTAGTTTTCTTTTTGTTTTTGCTTTTAGAGATAAGGTTTCCCTGTGTAATAGCTCTGGCTGTCCCGGAACTCGCTCTGTAGATTAGGCTGCCCTCACAGAGATCCGCCTGGCTCTGCCTCCCCAGTGCTGGGATTAAAGGTGTGTGCGCCATCCTTGCCCGGCTCCAAAGAAGTCTTGAGTGGCTCACAAAAGCGGTTCCTGTCACTCTGGGTGAAATAACGTAACGCATCTTAGGGCAGTAGTTTTTAAAGTGGTGGTGATGAAACCATATGCCGCCAGGGAAATGTAGTTTAGGGTAGTCCTGTGAGTTGACATCACTAGATGGTGCCTGGGTACAGTTGGTCGCAGTCCTGGACAAACGTGAATGCCCGCCTTGAAATCTATGGATGGGTACAAAGAGGACGAGTGTCAGCATCCTGACCCTGAGACTTTGGAGGGGACTGTGGTGTAAGAACCATGTGGTGGGTTCCGACCTTTGATCCTCTGACCCTGGAGAAT